TGGGATCCTCTGCATCTTCCAAGCCCCTCTGCCCAGCACTGCATCTCCCACACTTTGCAGGATCTGGCTCCGGCGGGGGGGTACCCTGGAAAAAGCCACTGGGTAGATGCATCCTGCAGCCCATGGGTCAAAGGGACATTCCCCACATGGCCACGTGCCACCGGCCATCATTGGCCCCGGGTTCTGTGCTGCTGGCTCCTCCCTGGAGCATTTAAATACACCGGAATAAAAAGGAGAGGGGAAGGTTGAAGCTTCGCACCACCGGTGCTGCCCGGTGAGATGTTCTGTCGAAGCCACGGGGAGAGGAGTGGGGAGAGGTCCCTGTGGCCACCCACTGGGAGTGATGGTGGTGGGCAGCGGGGCTGAGGTTTGGCGGGTTTCGGCAGAGCCTGCGGCCGTGCTCACCCCCCCTCCAAAACCAACCAGGGTTTTTCACGGTCCCACGAGGGCATCGGGACCCGCAGGAGCATCCGCTGTGGTTGCGAAAGCCTTTTGCAACCCTGAGCTGCCCAAATTCCTCCGCGGTGCAAATCCCAGGGGAATAGCCTGGGGGTGCAGCTCTGGGCTGGGGTGGGCAGAGAGCATCCTTCCCTCTCGGGCTCCTTCCCACCACCCGTGGGTGTGGAGAGGAGTTCCTGCCGTCCACCCAAACCAAACTGTGTGTGCTGTTGGCAAAGGAGCTCCGCTCCTCATTAAATCTGACTTCTCCTGTTCATGCCAATTAGAGCTAATTAAACTCCTTCCCAGTGATGGCACTTTCTGTCTTTTCGAGAGCCTGACACGGACTCGATGAAAACATGAGGGCTGCCATCACACGGGCACGTTTATCTGGTTGGTTGGGGCCGCTCGTGGCGCGGATGCTGCTGGATGCTCTGCGCTGACGTGGGGCTGGTACCCGGCTTTACCTCCGTAGGGGAAGATGTGGGCTGCTGTCCCTGCGGTGTTGGTGGTTTTGAGACCTGGTGATGTCCCCAGCCCTGTCTGGCAAGGCAGCAGCATCCTCTGCTGGGGCTGGTCCCAGTTTTGGGGTCAGGGTTGCTCTCCACACCCACCTGCCTTGTTCCTATGCCGTAAAAGGGCTTTCCCTGACAATACGTACAAACCCACGAGATGTTTTGCTTCATCACTCCTCTCTCCCCATCTCTCTTCCCCCCCACAGAGCCCATGCGGGCCCCCAAAGGCCTGGCTTTCTCCGAAATCCAATCCAGGCAGCTGACATTGCAGTGGGAGCCGCTGGGTTACAACCTGACCCGCTGTCACACTTACACCGTCTCGCTCTGCTACCGCTATTTCGTGGGCGCCGGCCACAACCAAACCTTCCGCGAGTGCGTGAAGATGGAGCGGAACACCAACCGCTACACCATCAAAAACCTGCTGCCCTACAAGAACATCCACGTCAAGCTCATCCTCTCCAACCCCGAGGGTCGCAAGGAGGGCAAGGAGGTGGTATTCCAGACGGATGAGGATGGTGAGTCCGCTCGGGGATGTACCGCGTCCCCAAAAATAGGATTCAGTGGCTGGTGAGCAGCCAGGGTGTTTCCCATGGCGCGGTGCACATCTGTGGCCCTCGGCCAGGGGCATGATGGGAATATCTCCTGCGGGCATCGTGCTAACGGGGAGGTGGAAAGGCTGTTGAAGCCCCAGGGCTGTGCGAGGGGAGGTGAGAGAAGGGGGCAGTGATGGTGCCCGGGGAAAGGAAATGCTGGGAGCAGCTTTGGGAGATGAGGGGATGGGATGGGGACGTGGCAGCACCGGTCGCTCCGGCAGAGAAACATCCTACGTTGCCGTGGAAATGCCACCCTCGTCCTTCGAGAGGAGTGTTTTAGCCGTGCTCGGGCTGGTGAAGGGCACAACAGATGCTCGGCTTCTCCCAGCATGAGTCCTCGCTCATCCCTTAGTGTGGAACCAACGCCTAGCAGCGATAATAACAACAATTAAAACAATCAATGCTTTGCATTTAGGTAATATCTTTCATCTGCTCGGGCGCTGATTAATTTGGCGTTGTGATGTTTCTGGGAGAGCGCTGGTAGCCAGAGCCCTGCGCAGCTTCTGCTTGGGCTTCCCCGATGCTCTGCCCCGGTGAAGTTTGTGGGTTCAGGCGGTGCAAACGAGCTCTGCGGGTGAGCGCGTGTTGATAAGAGGTGTCTGTTTAGTTGCCGGCAACTTTGCTCCTGAACAGTCGAGCTGTTTCTCCTCTCCCCGTCCTGGCCGTGCCCCGGGGTTGGGTCCCCACTGCTGGCACCCTAACTGGGCTGATGTCCTCGCTGGAGGCTCCAGCGCTGCTCCAGGACTCCTGGGTTTGGCATCTCTTGCTCCTGCCCAGCCCTTCCCTGAGGATGTCCTGGAGTTGGGGCCACCAGAGAGGTCTCCCAGGTCTGGACTTACCCTGCACCGCGGTCCCTGGCTGCAGCTCTCCATCAGCAGAGTGCTTGGGTCATTTTGGGCTCTGGAGATCACGGAATCCCAGACTGGTGAGGGCTGGAAGTGCCCTCTGGAGCTCCCCCATCCCACCCCCTGCCAGAGCAGGGGCACCTCCAGCAGTGGCACAGGACGGCGTCCAGGCGGGTTTGGGATGGCTCCAGAGGGGGAGACTCCCCCACCTCTCTGGGCAGCCTGTGCCACTGCTCTGCCGCCCTCACAGCAGAGAAGTTTTTCCTCATGTTGAGATGGAATATCCCGTGTTCCAGTTTGTGCCCATTGCTCCTTGTCCTGTTGCTGGGCACCACTGAACAGAGTCTGGCACCATCCTCTTGCCACCTGCCCTTTATCTAGTATATGTATCTTTACACTATCTGAATTTTAGCACCTTTTGAAGATAAATGAGAGACTTGATGAGGAAGCACCACAAGTTTAATCTCAAGAAGTCTCTAAAACTCTCCTCCACCCTGGTAGGTCGGGAGGAGAAGCAGGAGCACTTGCACAACTACTTCTTCAAAAAAATCCTCTGGGAAGAAGCGAGATCCTCTCCCATCATCACTCTGAAAACAGAATTATGTTTTGTTAGATGGCTTATGAAAGTGGATGTGAAGGCTAAAAAAAAAAAGATCCCACTTCCTCCCTCCGCCTTGATTAATAGCTGAACAAAGTTGGTACGAACTGCCTACCTTGCAGAATGGAGGAGATTTGCCATTTGGGACATATCCAACCAATTATGGCCAATTCGCACAATCGTTCAGCGTGTGCTGCTGTAGTTACTCCATCTAAAAACCCACCGGGCTCTCTATCACTTCACTGACAGTTCGTTTAGTGACCACGCCACTCATGTACTTTTTGGTTCAAAATAGCTCCATCTGTCTATATCTTACCTTAATGACTTTTCAAAGCCTATCCATCAAGACTTGGCTCCCTCTTGGGGCTTTAAATACATCCTCAGCCCTTTGCAGAAGCAGCATTCTGGGTGGCAATGGTGCAGCCTTGGGAGATGGCTGAGCAAGCCCTATGGGCAGTGCTATGGTAGGCAGTGTTTGCAAAGATAACACCTCTTTGAACTTCTGTACATATATATTCTGTTGTTTGGTTGGGTTTTTTTATCAACATTTAAAATATATAATGCTACCTATGTTTTTCCCAAGCCTTGGTCCCTTAAAATGAAAAAAAAAA